AAATAACATTCTCGTTTATTAATCGTTAACGCTTTTATTTATAAAAAAATGAACAGTAGCAGGAGGTACCTCCCTCGAAACCAAATAACTTTTATTTTTTAATATCTCGAAAATTAAGCGAGATACATCGAAAAATGTCGATGAATCGTTCGAACACTTCCAAGAATTCGACGTCATTTCTTGGAAAAATTTTTCGATCGACCTCCTATCATGTTCTCCTAATATAAATTCGCATTTTTGGACAATAATTTTTCTATCGATTTTCGATCTTATCCCTCCTTTTTTAAATATCTGCTTTATTTTTCATTGTTTTAAAGAATGTTTGAAATAAAAGTTGAATGGTTTCGAACGAGTTATATTCTGGTGACCTCAGTTTTTTCGTATTCATTATGCATTCATAAAAACTTATCTATCTCAACTTTATTTTTTTAAATGGAATGGTATAATTTTCAATACATCAGTCGATGTATCATGGTATTCTCCGTAAAGAATTATTAAGCCATACATAGTAAAAAACCATTAGTTTAAATGATATTTAATTATTTTTTAAACTATAACGTTTTTTGCTATTTGTTATTGCTTTTTTACATTGAATGCCAAGATACATCAAATGTAGTATTAAAGAATATATACTTCTTTTTAAGAAAACAATATTATGCTTTTATAAAAAATCCTTTACGCTTCTATATGTTAAAATGTAAATAGCCTCCTCTCGAAACCATTTAATTTTTATTTTAGAGATTCATTTTTAATACTATTTTAATTATATTATATTATTGTAATTATTATACCTTATGTTTATTTAATGAAATATTTCTATCCATATTTCTCGATCTTGTATATTGTTATCTTCCTATTATTCTCCAGTTATCCATATTCCTTAATCTGATATTCCTGAATATTCCTGTACTACTATTATCCATATTTCTCCATCCTGAATATTTCTGAGTCCCTGTATTCTCATTATCCATATTTTTTAATCCTGAATATTCCTGTATTCCTTTACTCTTATTTCTCCATCCTGAATATTTTTGTGTTCCAATATTCCTTTTATTCATGTTCCTTATTCCTCTATATTTCTGTGTTTCTATATTCTTTAATTCTTTAGAATTAAGAAAACTGTTGAAAAATTATTAATAAAATAGCTGTAAAAGGATAAGTAAGGATAATAAAAGGTAAATAAACTGTAGAATTAAGAAAACTGTTGAAAAACATTTAATTCATTTAAAAACAATAGTTTGTAAAAATAGTTTGTAAAAATTAAATAATAAAAGATAAGTAGAAGTAAGTATTTTACAAATGATTTTTGAAAACATTCGAAAATTTTTGTAATAAACATTGAAAATATAAGTAAACTGACCAATTTTTGTAAACAAATTTTTTAATAAAATAATATAATTTAAAAAGAAAATTATACTTACCTTATACTTACCTTTTTCTTTTAGATACTTACCTTCTAAGTTCTAATATTTTTAAGAATCATTTTTTAACATTTTACTTAAATTTAAATGACTTGAGGAAATATAGGTTTAGGAATAAATGTTAAATGTTTTTTAAATAAAAAACTCATTTATTTTCTGAAAAATAACGTTTATTGAATATAATTTATAATTAATGATACATATTTTTTAACAATTGATTAAGTTACATTTGGGCTTGTATACATATATTATTTTTCATAATATTAAAAAATGCTTTGGATACAAATGGTTTCGAAAGAGCTTTATTCTGACATACTCAGTTTTTTCTTAAATGAACTTATAAAAAACTCGTCAAGTTCAACTTTATTTTTTAAATGGAATCATATAATTTTTAATGTATCATAGTATTCTCTATAAAACAACTTTTAAACCATATATGATGAAAAAACCAAGTTTAAAAGACATTTAATTAAATCCAATTATTTTTTAAATTGAAAGTTTTTTATGATTTTCGATTATTCCAGGAATTTGACGTCATATTTAAGACTTTTAGATATTCCAAGCATTTGATATCATTTCCAAGAATTTTAAAAAATTAGAATTGTAAAAAAATTCTTGGAAAAATATTTCGATCGATCTTTTATTTTATCATGTTCTCCTAGTATAATATCTCGATCATTCGATTGCGTCGATTGATCGAATCGAGGGAGCACGTAAGCTCATCGGAGACTGCAGTAAATACACGATGGGAGCGGTGTTCGATATATATTTGATAAGCTGCTACACGGCCGGTCGACCGCTGACAAATCGTTCAGAGATCGCCAAACTGATATCACTGGACCTGGACGACGTGCTGATACACTGATGCATCACGGTCAACCCTTCTCGACGACGAGTGCAGGTCCACGCTTTCTCTCGTGAGATGAATCGAAGTTACGTAGGAACGTTCTGCAAATAACTTTTATCATATTTTGGATTATGTTGTTGTAATTCCTCAGATTCTTATGTATTCATTATGTTATATAGTTTTGTTTTATTTTCAAATATTTAATAATTATAAGTACATATAGATTGACAAATTGTAGGATTAGTATAGATATTGCAATTAAAATGAAACGATATCAAAAATATATGGAGAATATATGAGATTTTCTTTTTTGGAAAATTTATTATGTAAATTGCTACTAATTGTTTCAATATAGATTAACTGAGAATAATATTTTATTTTTAAAAATTGAAAAATACTTTTTTATATTTTCTTTGCTAATTTTGAAGAAATAAGGAAATTTAGAACATTTGCATTAATATTTCTATCATTAAAAAGTTTTAATTTAATTAAAAATAAGATTTATAATTGTTTAAAATTATTTTTATTGTATTTTTATATTTTGTTGAAAGTATTTTATTTTAATATATTTTACCATTTTGTGAGGTATCCATTTTAATTAAGAAAAAACTTCATTGGAACAAGACTCGATTTCAAGGATAAATTAGTAACACGATACGGACATTTTCAAGATTTTAGAAACACTGATTCGAAATAGAATAATTTGTGGCAGTGAAACGTGTTATAAAATCGTTAAAAATCTGTTTCTTTTTCGAAAGATTTTATTTCGATTCTCTTTTGTAAAACTAAACTAAATTCTAAAGTTTATAACGATCCGACTAGTTAAGTAGCAACGCTGATGACACCATTTACAAGTTCTGGAAGCGAGTACGCGTTTCTTTATCGTTCCATCTAACTGTGTTCGTTTAGAATAAATGAAAATTTCATTTAGACACAACGATAAATCCAAGATTAATCTGATGAATGACACTTGATATCCTGAATCATCCGATTAAATCGAAACCAGTTATGAATCTATAATGTACAGGCTACTTTTTTTCTTCTCCAGAATTTAAAAAGAATCGCGATCTTCATAACTTTTTTTCTCTTTTTTCTTTTTTTTTAGTATTTCTTTCTTCTTTTTTTTTTTTTTGATGCATTCTGATATTATAAAAAATGACTATGAGTTTTGGTCAATGTAAACAATGTACCGTTATTTTATTATAAAGTCGAAATTCTTTCAATTCTGGTCAATTAATTATCTCGATTAATCACCAAGAAAGGAATTCTATGATTATGGAACACGTCAAACTAGAATTCGATTTTTATCGATTTTTATTCAACAATATATTATCGAGAATTTGCCGACTACATACATACATACTACATTTTCTTCTTCATTTTATTGCAATTCCATTCTCCTGGTATCAAAATTATTAACATAAACTGCAGAAGTGATGAAAATATAACACTTTTTTAAATTTATTACTAATAAAATAAAAAATAAAAATCTATTCCAGAACTATACTAACTTTTCAATTAAAATATTTTTTAAAAAGATTCTACCTTCGATTCTACCTTCAAAGTTCAATGATATTATTTTTTCATCGGTATTAAACTCAAATCAACTAGAATAAAAAAATCATCGCTATGTATCATTCATACTTCAGCGCTTCTAGAACCTAACCTCAACTTTTTCCCCTAAAAAAAAAAAAATCCCCATGACACACTATCCCTTATTCTTAATCCAAAACGATGGCAATGCAATATTACTTGGATCTCTTTCTCACGAAACGATAAAACTCGATTCGATAACGTACAGCCTGGCTAATCCCTGCATTTATCGCTGCGTGCCCAGCGTGGTCCAGCACGTTTCACGCTCGACGATCTCGATAAGGGGGCAGCAGCGAGCCTAGCTACAGCAGCGCCGCCTTCTAAATACTGGTAATGGCGCTTAATATATCGCCGGCAGATAACAATCGTCGGAGAAACGCCGCGATACGCGTCTCTCGACTTTTACCGGGCTTTATCTCTCGCACAACGGGCTCCCTTCGTATAAAGGATCGCGCGAGTAAACGAGCGAACGCGTCCACCTCTATACCCTTTTTCCCTCCGCCGGTTGTTCCTTTTACACCCCTCCCAATGAATCTCCACTATGCTTCTCCCATGCAACAACTCGCCCTTCCAAGACAGATCCGTCTCGCGTGCGAATCGCGAGATCTCGGATGAGATAGCCCGACAAGCCGCGTCGAACTAGGCAATTAAACGCTTCAAGAGATTTTAATCCATCATTGATTTGAATAATATTCGATAGATGGTCTTGGAAAATATGAATGTCGAAAAGAAGGAATTTGATATACGTAATTCCGTATACTTCCCGTCAAGTTTATCGACGATAAGATCTTTGTAATTGTTGCATGATAATTGAACGAAAGCCTCGAAAAAATTAGTTATATAGTATATACTTTGTATATACTCTTTTATTTTCAATAAAATAATTATATATTTTTTAATTTCATTTCAACGCTTTACCTACCCTAACTTGACAATTGAAATATAATATACATTTCGAGAAAAGAAATTAATATTATTTTTATACTTATGGATATGGTTTTATTTTTTCCTCTTTCGAGGAAACTTCCACATTAATTTGAATTAATAACACGTTGCAAAACACCGTGCCATTATACCATTATCAACCAATTTATTTATAACAACTATTCAGTTTCTCTGTTTTCGAATTGCAATCGAGTATCAACATATGTGTATATATTTTTTTCTCAAAAGAATCAAATAAAATTCAGGGTTAAGCCGGATTCAGGCTTGATATTTCGTCGAGCCATTCGAAACTCGGAATTCCGAGTTTCCGAGTGTAAATTTCAACACGACGAAGCGCAGAAGTCGCCTACGGAGACCACACGGGTATCGAAGATAGATAATCACGCTACTTACAATAACAAAACTCTGTAAATAATCACGGCTGAGGCCGTACCGCCGATCGACTTCGAAGAACCGGCCACGCTCCGCAATTTTCGACGTAATAAAGAATCGCATATATGGAGATTCCATTACCGGCTCAGCTGTTTCAGGGTCGCGGCGTATTAAGTAAATTTATACGGCACCTGACTGTCATAAAAGACAGGCGGCATGCCGGAGCTCGCGTCACCGCGAATCGTGCTTTCGTCGCCGTTTAGACGCGCTAGAGCCGACGCGTCGAGTCGTTTTCATAATTTTAACAGTCACCGGAACCAACATCGACTCGAAACGAAGGAGAGGAAAAGAAGGAAAAGAAGAGAATTGAGAGGAAAAACACGGGAGGAGGGGGGGGGAGGGGGGAAGAGAAAAGATTGGAAAAAATCTCCGGTGGAACGCTAACGAGAAGAAGATGAACAGCTGGAGGAGCGTGGAGGAGAGACAGTCGTGAAGAAACTCGATGATGGCCGAGAGGGTATGCGATCGAGAACGAGTTGGACGATAGCAATGACACTCGTTGCATCGTTCGAGAGGTTGGTTCGCGGGGTCACGCTTCTCTGTCTGTATCGAGAGGGAGTTAGAAGGAGAAGTGACGGTCTTGTGTCGAGGTGGAGCGAGAAGAAGAGCGGCGCAAGGGTCACGGAGGGGTCAAGAGGCTGCCGGCATGCGGGGTTGACGGATAAATATAATGATTTAATGACCATTTCGTACGCGAACGACACGAAATTCTATGATCGCTGCGCCTAATGACACGGCACTTGCCACGAGGCTCTGCAATTATTTTGCGGCACGTTGGTCTCCGATGACGTCATCGTCCACGTACCTTCTCACGCCCTATGACCGAGCTAGAGTACGCTCCGCCCTAGAACCTATCCTACTCTCTACACTGTTTGTAGCCATTTTCCTTGTATTTTGCTCTCGACTTAGTTTCGTTCTCTCGTATTTGTTTCGAATCCTTTACGAAAGAAGATTCATGCGTCTTTAAGCACTTTTTATCATCTGCTATGTCCTTCGATTTTGATTGGACGTAAATGAATTTAAAAATTCAATTTCCTTTTTATAATGGATTAAAACGAATCGAAGGATATGCGAGGACTTGTGAGGATATTCATTATATAAATATAAACATATCATACGAATATATTTTCTTCTTTTTCTCGAATCCCATAGTGGTAGAAATAAATAATTATTTCTTTCTCCGTATCGATATTGTGTGTATGCAGCAAATGTTTTCGCTCCTGAACATATGTTCTCGTATATTTTTACGAATACATTTTTCTTAAATTGCGAGAAATAATCTCCTTCTAAAACATCTTGATAACCAATTAAAGATCCGTTCTTGTGAATAAAATGTATGCATTAAGTGTTGATATATCATCTGTATTCATAAATTATCATAGATGATTTTAATCATTTAAATTGTTGCTTTCGTAATGGAATAAAATGTTCACAAGATCTTTTACGTAACATTTTTTTTTTTATAATGAACAAGTCGCAACACAGTCGAGAATGATCGACTCTTATTATTTATTTCGAACTGAATGTATTCGCAAATTTTCATTCGTATAATTAAAAAAAGTTTCGAATTAAAAATCAATTCGTGGCAAAATATGTCCCCGAGAAAATATAGCCGGATTCGTATTAGAAGAATTTTCTTTACAACAATTATAATTTTATCAATTTTAAAATTTAACGATCGAATGTAAAGTTTATTTTAGAAAATACATTCTATGAGAATATAAAAAAATGTATTTTTTCAAAGATATATATAACAATTTTTATTTCATGATCGACAGATTGGAAATAAAGGAAAAAAAATCTTTTGGAAGAATCTTCTTCCGTGAGCAGTGTCCAAGGTGCGCCCTGCGCGTGGTTAAGTGTTACCCATTCTTCTTTCTTTCTTCTTCTTTTGTTTCCTTTTGATTTTCGTTGGCACAGGGATCGCGATTGTGAGCCACATTGGGAATTCCCTTAAGACAACTAGGAATAGTAAAAAGGAAACTGGCGAAACGCCTATGTCTATCGAATGGTAAGTGACGAAAGGTGAATGAAATGGTCCGTTCTCGATGAAACATTATTCCACGAAGCTTCTGATTCATGGAATGACTATGCCAGGTTAATTTAATCCACTCCTGACAGTTCTTGAAACGCATCCAATATATTTAAATTCGATGAACACCTTTCACGAAACTTCATTTTACGCGAGGTTAGATGCGCTCCTAAGTATAATTACAGCAGAATCTTAATATCAATATCGATATCAATTATCGAGAAGAAATGTTCGATCCAAAATTAATAAAAAGTTGCGATCGCAAAAAAGAAAAAAAATTCTCCAACAAATTCCATCTTCACACGGTCAAGCTTTTATCATGCCCACCGACACAGAAAACTCTCGTGCTCTTCCAGAAGAGAAATACTCGTCTAGATGTCGCAATCTCATCCGATGGACATATACGATTTAAATAAAATATCAATTAACGCTTCCCGCGAGGCCGAGCGCGTAACCGCGTTGAAAAGCAACCGTTCGCCTGCGTTACTAGCTTCGTGTCCAATATAAATCAGATTGTATCATCCGCCGGTTGGATCTCGGTTTATCTGACTGTGGATCTCGCTTGGTCTCGTTCGTTGGGCAATTATCGTCGATACATCGACGCAGGGGAAAATGTCACCGTTCCGCGCTCACCAAAGAAATCCTCCTCTCCCTCTGATCCCCTCTATTCCTCTCTCTCTCTCTCTCTCTCTCTCTCTCTCTCTCTCTCTCT